CAATCATAATCACACCTTTCGAGTCCCAGAATACTGAAGCCATCACCTTATTTGCCGACAAAATCGACTTAGCCTTTTTAGGGGGTGGTGAACCAGGTCTTCTCCACTGTTTTGATTGTTGTTTTGTTTCCGGTGTACAGTAATGAACCCATGTTTCGTCCATAGTAACAAAACGATTCAAAAAATCATCTGCATCGGCTTCAAATAACTCCAAACAGTCGCGTGAAATAGTCAATCGCGTCCTTTTTTGTTCAACTGAAAGCAGTCGCGGAACCCACCTCGCAGACACCTTGTGGAAACCCAACTCGTTGACAATGATGTTTTGAGTTCGTTCATAAGAGATGCCTATAATCTCGGCTATCTCTCTAATTTTTAATCTGCGGTGTCCCATTATTAAATCAAGTACTTTTTTAATATTTTCGTCAGTAGTTGACGTCGAAGGCCTTCCAGAGCGGGGTTCATCTTTCACACTCTCTCTACCACGCTTAAATTCTGCTATCCATTTTTTGACGGATGAATATGACAGAGCACAATCGCCTAATGTACTGACCATGTCATCATGGATGGCTTTTGATGATAGCCCCTTCTTATGGAGGTACTTAATGACGGCACGCTGCTCGATTTGCTCCATTCGCGGAAATTATGTCCGATTACTTTGTTAATAAATTTATAAAATCACAACTAATTATCGCACACGTTTCGAACACACAATAAACTAGTCTGAACTGAACTAAATAATGTGGGTAGATTTGATTTTTAGAATTGAATGGATCTGTGTTAGGCCGAGTACTTTTCAATCCACCCTCGTACAATATTTTTTATGACTTCCGATGTTATTTAAGTCAATCCCATCTCGTGCCACTGTTTACAACTGGTTTAATGACTTTAAATGTGATCGCACTAACTCACCGATGATCTGCGTGAGGGACGGCCTTCTACGGCGACGATTGAAGATAACATCAGTGTTGTGCGGCGTATGATAGAGACTGGCAAAAGAGTGACTTATCAGCAGATTCGGACAAGCTTATGCATCGGTATGAGTGCACAAAATCCTCCATGAACATTTAGCGGTCAGGAAGCTTTACGCCCGATGGATACCTCATAATTTGACAGAGGCCCAAAAACTCCGTCGTGTTAATTGGTGTCGTGAAATGGTTCAAATATTTAACGGAGGTGACTCAAATGCTGTGTTCGACAGGTGTTTCCTTCCGAGGAGTTGCCAAATAAAGTAAAGAGGTCGGAGCATGGTAAAAAAGATGGTGGCCTCGTTCTTCGGAAGGGTAGGTCATTACGCAACAATTGTTTTAGAGGATCGAAAAACGGTTACTGCAGAGATACACATAGTACACTAATAATTGTTTGCCACTTGTCTTGGAAAAGTTTGGGTGAAACGACCTCGCATTAAGATCCTTCTTCACCACAACAACGCCTCGTCGCACACCGCCAAGCAATCAATCGACCACTTGGCGACGTCTGACGTGGAATTACTGGGCCACCTGCCCTATAGCCCCAACCTCGCACATTGTGAATTTTATTTATTTCCGAAAATAAAAGAAAAACTTCGAGGTAAACGCGCCGAGGAAGCAGTGCCTGCGTTTCAAAATGCCGTCGAAGAGACCCCTAAGGACGAGTGGGGAAAGTGCTTTTCTCAGTGGTTCCATCGGATGCAGCGATATATTGATTTAATAGGACACTATTTTGAAAAGATATAATAAAACTAATAACTTGCTACCTAGTTTGTTCTGTTTTTGATTTTCTAAGAACTTACAGTGTCATCCTCGTACATGATCTTACACCTTTGAAGCTACTTCCCATAGGCTGTCTGCATGTTCTACTCTTAGTGTAAAATGATGAATAGAATAGAATAGAATATTTTTTATAGATTATTACAAAATACTTATTTGAAAGTAATTTTTTTAGTTACTACTGGTTCGGAAAATGCTTCTGTCCTGGGAAGCACCAGCAAGAAACCCAGCGAGATTATATTTTTAGATATAATATATATATATATGACTTCACAATAATTTTGTACACAAATTTTTTGGTGACAAACGAGCACACAGTCCACCTGATGGTAAGTGGTTGCTGTGACCCATAGACATCTACATTTATCCTCAATAAATAATCGAAATGTAGATACGTCGTCACGCCTGAGGACTAAGATGGAATGCCTCTTTTCCAGTAAAATGGGTTTCCGGTTCTCTACACTCACCATACGAAACACATCAGCGTTAAGCTGCTATTTTACGCTGGTATTCTGTGAGAGCGTGGTCCTGTCCCGGTCGAGCCGACCCATTTGTGCTACTCCTAATATTACTGCAGCATGGCTCTACCACGTATTATATGAATTATAATAGAACCAGCATGGTAGTGATGACCTTATTCCCGGGGATATGTTCATTTATGATATTCCTTAATATCATAATAACCCTTTTTGTACAGCTTCTCTTTTTTGAACTTGTTGATTGACAAACTTTGAAGATTGAACATGATTTGTCAATTTATCATTAATCAGAAGCCATTAGAGTTTTCCAGTATTTTCTGTGTACTTTCTTACGACGCCTACGAAACGATTTGTAAATGGTTTAATAAATTCGTGCTGTAAAATACAAATATACAAGTTTCATTAAATTCGACACGTGTTTCTTAGGAAGAAACTACAAACTCTAATCTCCAAACTTAAAAATAGTTGTAATGGACAGTTGATTATGTGAAGGAACTGCGCTTTCAAGCTATTTTTTAATATTAATTCAATTTATAGCATGACCGATTATGCCTTTTAAGGGATTTTTAATTTTAAAAGTGAGTAAGAGTGAACAAGTTTAGTGCTTTGCATTTTCCCCTTAAATAAATATGTATTATTTTTTAAAGCTTTACGTTAGCGACATTGAATAACGTATGTAATATATAATATATTACTTCTATTTTGGAAACAGTTTCATTTGCCAATCGATATACAATAAGGTTTCTTATTTCACCCTCTATAGTATTGCACCCCTGTCACTTGCCACCCTATACCTCGACCCTTCTTACAACGCAAATCTAATCATATCGAAAGTTAATAAAATTTCAACCTTAAGGTACAGTAACAGAGTCATAACTAGATTTTTGCCTAAAACACTAATTAGGTTATATGCTATTATACGCAATATCGATTTAATTAATACCAATATAATTGTAAGAACGTATGTTTAGCATATTCGACGAGTTTATCAATGTTGTATATAATATTGATAAACTCGTCGAATGTACTTGGTGAAATAGCCAAGTGTTGTTATTTACACACCGGTCCTAATATTATGTTTATATGCTTACATAAATTATATATCAATCAATCAATGCTTCTGCGTTATGTCAACCAAGTTCGAACTTTCCGATAATGACACGGCTTCCCGACTGCCGATAACAAAGCGCCCGGCACTGACTCACTTCAGCTAGAGCTTTGGATAGATAACCACGTATTTTGCTCATTGTTCGGCACTCTATTTGTATTTGTTTGGGAGTCGAATTTCTATTATTTAAGTGAAAACGTGATTGTTTTTTCATTATTTTTTATCAACCGATAAAATGACTGCGTTCATACATAGAAGGAAGCTGTTTGAAGAAGTACGTATTGATATTATTCCTTATGATATGTTATTGAAAAATTTATCAATAAAATAAGCTTGACTTGATATTCTTGAACGGGTTTGTTGTTAATAACTTTATATGTCATGATTGTCACGAAAGATAATTTATTTGTTCTGAAGAAACAAAAGAGAAATTCAAAAGGTAAAGTAGTAAAAATTTAATCTAACTTTGCAAATATTTTAAGGACTTGTCCACATTCACTGTGCCGAATGGATGATTCCTTAGAACCTTTCCCAAGTTAGATTACCAGTTTTAAATTTGCTACGGTGACGAGAACAACTTTTATTCAATTACAACTTCAGTAGTTTCAATATTGTTTATGGTCATATACTTAAAATAATGTTGGTCTAAGCACACTACCCTAGGTAACTCCACGGGTGATGATTTCGTTACCACATCAGACATCAACTTTCACAGTTTGAAGTTCAAACTTTGTTTGGTTACCAGTAAATAATTAAAGTGAAAACACTCTGTTCTATACCCTTTATCATTATAATATTAAAATATTAAACTGCCCCTGTTTGTTTAGTGGTTGTAAATGCAGCTGCTGATCATGTAGTCCCGAGTTCCAATCACGGGGTGAGCCATAAGTCAGGAAGCCGTTGATTGTCGTCCATTCGTACTATGAGATTATGCACTATAATCCTGTCCTGCACAGAGTTCGAGTCTCCGTTGATGCTTACACATTTTGTTTTCTTTGACATTACTCTGTTAAAAGTTAGTGTGTGTGTTACCTGCAGTTATACAAAATCTGATTTTCGCAGACTAAAAACTTTTATCAATGATTGTATAAAAACTTTTACTGTTAGGAAAGAAAACTTAAATTAATATAAAATAATTTATGGATGATAATAACCACTGGGAAGAGGTGAAGTTATTTCAATGTGTTTCATTGTGGTTACTTCAATGATTGTAAACTGTACTTTTCTTCATAAAAAATTATATGTCCCGCTGGGATTCTAGCTGGTTGTTCCCAGCACACATTAGGTTAGGTTAGACTATTAGTTAGTTTACCCTCATCTACGTTTTATGATAAACTAGCTGATTTCATGGGTCTAATTTTTTTGCGCCGAACCCTAATTCATTTTTTTAAACAAAACTAGCCTAAGTTACTCTTTATAACATCAGTTATCTGCCAGTGAAATTCCCGTTAAAATCGGTCTAGCCATTTCGGAGATGAGCCGGAACAAACAGACAGACAGACAAAAAGAATATTTTTTTCTTATAGGTACCGTATATACTTCTTATTTTTTCTTGGTGTACAGTATAGAGCATTGTAGATTAAACATAAAGAGTGACTTTCAATAAATATTATTTATAATCTATCTCTAATCTATATTGAATATATTTTGCGTCTGTGTTGTGGGCAGTTGTCGATGAAGGAGTGGGACATCCCGTACGACGAGCTGAAGCTGTTCGAGATGATTGGCACGGGGCGGTTCGGCACCGTGTACCGCGGCAGCTGGCACGGCGCGGTGGCCGTCAAGCTGCTGCACGTGCACTCGCTCACCGACCACTGCCTGCAGCTCGACACCTTCAAGCACGAGGTACGTGCCTTCGCCTTCACTCGTCAAGCTGCTGCACGTGCACTCGCTCACCGACCACTGCCTGCAGCTCGACACCTTCAAGCACGAGGTACGTGCCTTCGCCTTCACTCGTCAAGCTGCTGCACGTGCACTCGCTCACCGACCACTGCCTGCAGCTCGACACCTTCAAGCACGAGGTAACTAGAGGTTCACGGCTCCGTGGCGCAGTGGCTTAGCAAGTACTAAAGCTTTATATGTTTATAAAGCGGTATAAATGTCGTCGTTTTATTTTATAGAATAAGGGTGGCAAACAAGCACACAGTCTTGATGGAATCTGTAGCCCATAGACTACATCAATCCTCAATTAAGAATCATAATACAGATGTGTTGTCACCCCTGAGAGCTAAGATGGAAAGCCTCGTTTCCAGTAAAAAGGGGGCCTGTTCTCCACACTCACCATACGAAACTTGCAGCATCAAGGTGCTATTTTACTGATATCCTGTGACAGCGACCTTTACCCGGATAAACCGATCCATTCGTGCGGAAAACATAATATATTTTTAATTAATATTTTATCGTGGTAGAGCCATGTTGCACCTATGTATATTATAATAGTAGCACGAATAGTTCGGCTCGACCGGCGTAAAATAGCAGCATAATGCTGCTGTTTCCATTAGTGCTGCAACCGTAATATAGCTGCAGCGTGATTATCCCGTGCAGCCTACATAATATGTTCCATTGTTACTATTGTTACCCGGTAAAGGAAATAATCATGGGGGAAACCTGCATGTCTGAGGAGTCAAAATATAACGAAGATAAGTAAATCCTTATCTTCGTTATATTTTGCTTTATAACCCTTTCAGTAATAAGAGAAGGCCTGTGTCCAGCAGTGACACATATATATGCTGTAACTTCATACAAACTTCAACCTTTAATATCCATATTTATCGTATTGATATTTTTAAACAGTATCGAAACATATCACGTGATAAATATCGATATAAAAGCTATTAAAAAATTACTTCGCAAACATCCGCTATATAAAATAAGTATAAAATAATAATTTTTTAAAACCTTTTATATAATGGATTTCCGCAAAGTAACGCCTGATTCTATTAATTGTAATAAATAGGGGAGACCGGGTACAAAAGTAACGGCGGGTCGAAAGTAACAAATGCTCTATAGGTTTATCCAATAGCCAAACACCGCTTTGATTCTGTAAGGTGATAGCCGGTAGTGGCCCCCTCACTTGCATTCAATCGCCGCGCGTGTCACGCGCTGTTAGGTTGTGTGAGAGGACACTATGTGATTTCACAAATCAAAAGTAAGTTTTATGACGTTTTCTTATTTAATGTTTTCGTAGTCTTAAAAGGATGATACCAATCTGAATATTTGCATATTAATTCTTGATTAGATTGACTACACATTGTTTTAATTAATTTTTGTCTAGCATATTCCGTTTTAAAGTTATCTTTCATATATTAACAAAAATGTGATCGGGTACAAAAGTAACATAGCCCTATGGGTACACAAGTAACATGTTACTTTTGTCCCCATGTTGAATTATTTACTTACTATTGTTATGTGTATATTTATTTGAACAGAATGCCACGACATAAGAACTACCACACGAGGAACTACTGACACGGAAGTGTACCGAAAAGCGACTAAAGAGCTTTCTAAAACTGGTACAAAAATTAGATCCCTGGTCGTGTTGGTTGTGACGGAGCTGGCAATGCTAGTAATTGGATACAGGAGGCACAACTTTTACTGTTTCAAGAGCACTTCAAAAACCAAGTCAAGCCAACAATTGATCAAAAATGCTTGTTACTGCTCGACAACCATGCATCGCATATATCTATCCAAGCTCTAGAGTTTTGTAAAAAAAAAAGGATGCGGAATCATTCTGGTCGGAGAATGACTACCCATTACATTCCTGATATTGTTAGAGAAGCGTTTCCTCTTTCTGTCACTGATCGAAATGCAATTTACCTGTACCTACACCGGTATAAGTCCATTTAATAGGAATGTATTCACTGCTGTTGACTATGTACAATCATCTGTCACTGACCGGCCTTTACAAGTTAACAGTGAAATTCCACCAAATGATCTGTTGACCAGTTTTAATGCAACGTTCTCCATCCAAATTGATCTGGAGACTACAGTTAATAATCTTCCAACATCGAGTGACCAGACTACCCAGTGTACATTTAGCAATGATTTGTGGAAGAAATCCAATTTGCCAGTACCAGGACCTAGCTGGTTACAGCAAGCAAATTCTTCTCAGCCGTTTGATTCTACACCGAGAGATCTAAGACTTTTACCACAAGCGGGTCCGAGGACTGTAGCAAATAAAGGATGTAAAAATGTAAGGCAGCTTTTTTGACAAATACGCTCGAAAAAAAAAACGCATTTGAAGAACCGAACCAACAAAAAAAACGGTTTTAAAGCCCAATACTGGGATTGACAAGAGGAAGTTGATATCTACGAAAGGGAAAGGAAAAGGAAAAAAGACAAAGAAGGCAGCTAAAGGCAAGAAAAATAAATCTGACGACGAAGATTGCTTCTGTCTCGTTTGTTTAGAAACTTTTAGCAAAAGTTGACCAAATAAGCAAAGGATACAATGTACAAAATGTAAAATTTAGTCACATGCTGAATGCGTTATCGATGATGCAAATTATGTGCCATAGTTGTGAGTCTTAGTAAAATACTAATACTGAATAGTCTGATTATAAAAAAAATAATTTCATGTTATAATTGATCTCATTACTAAATTCTTTTGTTTTCTTCATATATATAATTTTTGAGCATTTAAAATGCAAATGTTTATCTGAGTTATTAATACAAAGTCTTGTAATAAATAATTAGCTGATTTAATATGTCACGTTATATTCATTACAAACCCCTTACTCCTGTTACTTTCGACCCACAACGTGTTACTTTCGGCCTGCCTACGTGGTCGAAAGTAACAACTGACGAATTTTTTAAAAGTCGCTGTGATTCATATAAAATACACAATAATAAATTAAATTGATATACTAATGTAAAGAACATAAACGAAATGTATAAATGGCTAGATTAATTTCATAAAAATAATTACACCTAACCAGAAAACAAGGTAAAAGCACAAAATGTTACTTTTGTACCCGGTCTCCCCTATCGATATATAGTCATGTTATGCATGATGTAAAGGCCAAAATTTTATTACTGGATGTTTTGACGATGAACAAAAAACGACAACAGCACATGATTGTTTTTGTTGCTTAATTGTTTTGTCTATTAAATTATAAAATAAATATAACATTTTAAAATATGTCGATATTAATAAGATTTCAATACTCTAAAATAAATATCGAATATATCATGATTAAAAATAATGATGATAAATATCGATACTCTTATGAGAAAATATCCACATTTTGATATTTTTTATCCAAACCTACTTCTTCCGCCAAAATGCATAGGTTGCATTAGTGTTCCAGTCTGAAGCATATAGGGAGCTAGTATAACTACAGGCTGTGAGGCATTCCATTTTAGTCCTCAAAGGTGACAATGTATCTGTAGGCTTTGTCATTTACCATCCGGTGGAATTTAAGTTCGTTTGCCACTTCGGTTTTATAAAAGAAATTACCCTCCTTCTGTGGAAGACGAATAAAAAAAACCGGCCAAGTGCGAGTTGGACTCGCGCACTGAGGGTTCCGAATAAATCCGTAGGTGTATAAGTTAAAAATTATTAAAAATATTTTTATTATATGATGTAACTAAAAATTTATGCTTTTCGCAATTTTTCCTTTATCTGTGCTATAATACATTGCTTCGTACCAAATGTTAAGATTCTGAGTTCACGGGAAGTACCCTGTAGGTTTTGATTCCCTTGCGAATGTCGAAAATTTGCGGCATAAACGGCTGCATCTTTTGATTGCGTTGGCTTAGAAGTTTGATTTTTTCACAGTTCCAAGAGACAGTAGACTTGAGTATTTGATATGATTGCTTTCAGCTTGCTACCTCCACCCGTTCTTAAAAAAAGGGTCTTGACAGACAGACAGACGGACAACAAAGTGATCCTATACGGGTTCCGTATTTTCCTTTTAAGGTACGGAACCCTAAAAAAGAGGTCCGCTTAGACGGAGAAGAAAGATGATTGTTTATTTCTTTCTTTAGTAATGAACTCGTACAGTATTATGAAATTGGCCTATAAGATAATTTGTTTAAAAACTTCTTCACAATAACAACACCAATACAAATACTAACACAACCACAATAAAAGTTCACAAGCGTCGGCTGATTTAATACGCAAAATTACATCACCTTTACGTGTCAAAATCCACTTCAAACCATTATTTAAACGAAAATACAAGTGCAACAATCCACCGGCGATCAAGTGTAGAGAAGCGGACACCCTTTTTAATGGAAACGAGGCGTTCCATTATAGTTCTCAGGGGTGACAACGCATGTGCATTTTGATTCATAATCGATGATAAATGTAGATGTCTATGGGTCACAGCATCCAGGTCAGGTCATCAGTTGGACTGTGTGCTCGTTTGTCAACATTATTCTATAAAAAAAGTTCCCGCCGAAAGTGCATGATGTTTGTGGTGTGTGCGTGCAGGTGGCGACGTTCCGCAAGACGCGGCACGAGAACCTGGTGCTGTTCATGGGCGCGTGCATGAAGCCGCCGCGGCTCGCCATCGTCACGTCGCTGTGCAAGGGCATGACGCTCTACACGCACATCCACCTGCGCAAGGACAAGTTCACCGCCAACAAGAGCGTCATCGTCGCGCAGCAGATCTCACAGGTGACCTTACCGGCTTCATATCCACATACACATTGTTCTTTCTTTTCTTTTCTTTACCACTCCGTAACGTGCCGGACCTATCCCTGTTTTATTTTTTAAATTTATTACAGTACTTCAAAATTATTAGTCGAAATATTAAAATTTGGGACTAATATGATGTTGTGTTCACAAAATTCTTTACAATGTATTGATCCCTCACATTGAGACAATTTTTGGAGATTTTGACGACAGCTTAACCCCAACTGACGAAGAGAATATAAAAACTTGAGATTTATACCACCATCGAACCACTTAAACGTATCAAAACTCAACTACAAATCATTATTTATAATAGACAGATAATACAGGAACAATCCACGCAAGGTGTTAAATTCCCGCCAAAACTGCTCTATCCCACACGGAATACAGGGCTGCCAATATAGGCATCCTAGTTGGTCTCTGAAATGATTATACAATATCAAATAGTTATTTATACAAACCAACAAAACTATTAAGAAAGTGTGAGTTTATGTCAATTATTATTACTTTGAATGCAATCGAATACTACCAAGAGCGAGTTATTTTCAATTGGAATAAGTTTATAAAAACGTTTAAATTCTCGCAAAATGTGCTTAACATTTTTGAATTCTTATTTTTGTATCCAATTATTATTACAAGGCAATCTGTAAAACAAATAGAATACACAAGATTATCATATTATACACATTTTATATCCGATAATACAATCTAACGACCCTGTAGAAATGATCTTCATATTTTATGTCTGACGTCAAGGAGATGGTTATACCGCCATCTTTCGGAGGTTATGTGATCTTTTTCATATTTCCCATAGATTTTACGAATGTCCATGAACCACTCAACAGTAGCCACTTACTATCAGGTGGCCTGTAAGTTAGTTTATCACTGTAATCTTTGTATAATATATAATTCTTCGGCACGGGTATTTGTCACTGAACTTCTAACCGTCTGGTTTGATTTTGATTATTTGTGTGTGTGTGCGTGTGTGTGTGTGTGTGTGTGTGTGCTTGTGCGTGCGTGCGTGCACGTACGTGTGCGTATGTGCGTGTGAGAGCGCGCGCGCGCGCGTTTGTGTGTGTTGAGTGGATCCCTAAATTGTTTAGATTCACAATTGGACCTAGTAGGTAGTGCTGTTGTCGAGATCAAGAAATCACCCGCGCGAAGCAATCACTATTATTTAGTTCATAGTATTTAATAAAAAACAACAAGACTCGGAGGTAGAATTACTATTTATTTTAGAAGACTGTGTTAAAGCCATAGATATAGTATAGTATAGATTGGCAATGAAGTGATTAGGGCGAGACCAAAATCAAAATACAACCAGTGTGCGTATACTGTGCATATTATGTTGGTGACAAATAGTGCTGCACCATACATTGTCTGCCTCAACTATAATTATCGATACCGATTGCAATATATTCGTGTCGTCTGATTTGACGTAGATGATGTAAGTGAATATTTTTACCCAACTACGGCGAAGCCAAAAGCATGGTTACAATTATAGATGGCTATGTATATATGTATGTTCATCTGTTCCCTCAGATCTTCTAAACTACTCATCGTGTATTGACAAATAAGATATCTTTTAAAGCATTGTGCCCTTTCGCGGGTTTTAAGCTGCATGAAGTCACATAAAAACTAACCGATGATTATTATTATAAAATGTGATAATATTTTTTATTCATGGATGTACAAATTATTTGTACCTGCTCTAAAACAGCATTTAGACAGCTAAACATTTCAATTGTACCGACGAGTTAAATGTATAATAATGTGGGTTTTCTTTCTGAGGTGAGTTATATGGTAGTACCCACCTAGTTATAATTAATTACGTCTATTAAACACTAATTTTCAATTTAAAAAATTTTGTAAATACAAGTGGGATTTGTTTTGTTCTCGAATGTCGCCAGGCCTATATAGCCCGATAGCGTGCACGTGAATGGTCTAGTCTTTCTCGCTCTAACATACGCGTAAACTATGCTCTTTCTCTTCTCTTGCCAATCTATTTTAACGTTAGTTACTAAATCTATAGTTAAAGCAGATTTATATTTCTCGTTACACTCATTAGTCTAATAATCTTATTTCTTATCGGTCGTAACAACCCTATTCGTTTCCAATCTTGCAGGGTATGGGATACCTCCACGCGCGGGGTATCATCCACAAGGATCTCAAAACAAAAAACATATTCCTCGAGAACGGCAAAGTGGTGATCACTGATTTCGGCCTGTTTAGCGTAACTAAACTTTGTTTCGGAACCAAGTAAGTATCCAAACAGTTTCTTTAACACTTTTTGGTAGCGATTTTTCACAAAATAAACACATAAATGATTGTTTATTAAAAAAAAAACTAGAAACAAATAACAAACAGAAATTAGACCTTTGAATAGTTTTTAATAGTAGTCAAGTCTTGGCCTTCTGTTAGAAATTATTGCACTTGATTGATTTTCTTTGATGTTATAGTATATAATTTACCTTATATAAGGGCAGGGTGAACATACAATACAGATTGAAAACATGTGTTATTTTTTATAGGAATTTTTTGTTGACAAACGAGCACACAGTCCACCTGATGGTAAGTGGTTGCTGTGGCCCATAGACATCTACATTTATCCTCGTTTGCGAATCAAAATGCAGATGCGTTGTTACCCGTGAGGACTAAGATGGAATGCCTCTTTTCCAGTAAAAAGAGTTTCCGGTTCTCTACACTCACCATACGAAACACAGCAGTGTTAAGCTGCTATTTTACGCTGGTATTCTGTGAGAGCGTGGTCCTTACCTGGTCGAGCCGACCCATTCGTGCTACAACTATACTAGGTACTAATATAGCTGTAGCATGGCTCTGCCACGTTTAAAACTGTTTTTGGATAAGTTGGTACTGGTTACTTCAAACCCAGGACCTGTGATATAGTGCCTAGATTAAACACAAGGCCACATGATTACTAATACTAATAATTATCATATATTGTACCTGCATGTCTATGGAAGTAAAAGAAAGTAGACTGTAATTAATACAGGCTTTCCATTAAGGAAACTAGTCATTTGCGTTGGACAGGATTAAACAGCTTTACTAGATGGGAAAAGTATCGTTTTTCTGCCTAACCGTCCGTCTGTATTAGTTCTTCCTATGTCGAGTCGATCCATACGTACGGCTACCATAACATAGTTGCAACGTGGGTCTGTCACGTTAGTAAATTACTAATTACATGGAATGTCTCACAGACTGTAGTTATATTGGCTCTCAATACCTTTCGGAGCGGAACGTAGCAATACAGACGCTGCTATTTGATAGCAGAAATAAGTAATAGGGTTGTATCTAACCAAACTAATTCCTAGGCACAAAGGGATACCTAAAATGAAATGTTTTGGAGGATCACGAAGTCTGCCAATACAACCGTGGCGCCACGGTGCCGTGGCGCAGTGGCTTAGCTTCAGTTGTTGTGCTGAGGGTCGCCGTTTTTTTGTGTAGCCTACAAATAATTGTTCCGGGTCTGCATGTTTGTCTTTGTACAATTTATTTTTGTAAAGTACCTCCACGATTAGTTTAGATTAGTGTGGGCGTGACGGTTTTTTTTAAAGTAACAACCGAGTAGTGCAGCGGGTTAATCGCTCTATAACCGTGTGAAATGCGAGGCGAGAGTGTCTGTGTGTGTGTGTGTGTGTGTGTCTGTGTGTGTGTGTGCGTGTGCGTGTGTCTCGCGGTGGCAGCGTGCACTGTAGGCGCGTGTGTGTGTGCGTGCAGCGCGCGCGGCGACAGCCTGGGCATCCCGCCGGGCTGGCTGTGCTACCTGGCGCCCGAGCTGGTGCGCGCGCTGCGCCCGCACGCCTCGCTGCACCTGCCCTTCTCCAAGGACACCGACGTCTACGCGTTCGGGTCAGTGCACGCGCACTCGTCACTCACCACACACCACACACCACTTACTATTCATCAGTCACCACACACTACACAACACTCAACACACACCACAGCACACACCCGGGTTTTTATGACGGTCGCTTGCTTTAATAAACTTTATTAAACTAAGTTTGTATAAAAAGAGTTATTATAATATTAAAGAATTTATAGATGATAATAACCCCTGGAAATGAAGTGATCGCTACCAAGCTATTTCTAATTTGTTATGTTGTATAATTTGTGTAACATACATGATTGTAAGCTGTTATTTAAAAAAAAAGTCCCGCTGGGTTTCTTGCTGGTTCTTCACAGTACAGAGGTTTTTTTTTCGAACCAGTGGTAATTATACAAAAGAGTGACTTTCAATAAGTATTATTTATAATCTATATTGAATAAAAAAGTTTTTGTTTCTGTTTCTGTTTCAAATGGCAATATACAATTCCACACGCGTAGGAAAGTATTTGCAGACTTCCCTAACGTGATCAATCATATTGAGGTCTTACCTTCGTGCTAAACAGTTTGATCCACGAATCCCAACCTTAATAAACACGTCAACATCACTAGAACGATGCGCCAGAACGTTATAATCCACAAAAATGCATTCCTCTCACAATGCAATTGATTGAGATTTAATAATCATCATCATTATTATTATGCCATGCCACAAAACACGATCTTGACCCGCCTGCATCCATCGACTTCCTGCATTCCTCACCAGGTTGTCACTCTATCTAGTGGGAAGCCGCCCTACACTTCGCTTACTGGTGTGAAGCTTCCACTCAAGCACCTTTCTTCCTCTTCAATTGTTGGTTCTTCGAGCTGCATGGCCGGCCGTCGGCCCAATGCCACTTCAGCTTAATCATGATCCGGGTTGTACATGAGAAATGATTTCCTCTCTCATTCAATATTAATATCATTTTCAATAAACACTACGCGCAATTTTCACATAAGAATCTGCCAAAAATATTATTTTAGTACTTGACTGACTAAGAAACAGTTGTTCAATGACACGTCTTTCTCTTCCAGAGTCTGACCTCTGAATTGTTCGCCTTTCCTGATAACGCTGCCCAATACTCCAAACAGTAAAAATTTAAGCGCTGTGACTAGTAACGGCTACACCTTCTAACAGCGCTATAATTTTAACAGTTTTTATTTTTTTGTCATCAATTTTAAAAGACAAGAACAATTCAATAAAAACTGTCCAAAACTTAATAACTTACCTATTAAAATTATTTTCGAATTTTTACATTTGGAATTGGAATAAAATTGTCATCTGATACACTAGGTTGCTTTATTATATGCCAGTTAAAGATTTTTATATTTTGTACATACAAAGAAGACGACTACGGGCAGCGGGGGCTGTCGGGGATGGCACTTCGTTCACAAGCACAATCGCGAAAGAACACATAAAATAATTATCTATTTGATTATTATACAGGTCACCTGTATTTACCGACCCTGACATAATGGTCTTTCGAGCCGGATCATTATGCTAGAGCCTGTAAAAATGTACCGTCGATGTAGTGATAGCCGCGGGCGCCACCGCCGCTTCTCCGCAGACCCTGCTGCCCATCGTCGTCTTCTTTATATACTTATCTTCACGCACAATCCCTGACGGGGTAGCCAGAGAGAACAGATCGCCAAGTGTCACGATCCTTACATACCTCTTTTTATGTTTATTTAATGTAAAATTTATTAATAACTCTGCACTGCAGCGCCACCTATCAGATTCAAATTTTCTGATTTTCTTTGTTGTGCCCCATAGCAATTATATATTTGTGAATATGAGTCATTGATATAGAATTTGTTGATAGCTTAAACATATTGTCACCTATCGGATTCTACCATAGCTATGAACCATTGTCTTGACAAAACAAATGTATATAAGTAATAATAGGTCGGAGGAAAATGTTTCTTCGTATTTTGTTTCTATAAAATTGAAGAAAAATCTCTTTGGTTATACTGTTTGTATCTGGCTGGTTTTGATATCAATACATATAGGACATTACGAAAAAGAAAAAGTAAAAAACACTTTCCCGCCATTTTCCAATTATTCTTCTGTCCGCCAAAATGAGGGAAAAGTAGAGTTATGCAACTTGAGTTGCAACTAAAAAAAATTTGGCGTTTATGGACCCAATGCAGCTTCAGTAAGAGTAGCACAAAGTCGGTTCAAGCGTTTTCAGTCCGGGAATTTTGATGTCAAAGATGGAGCGCTCGCTCTGGTCGCCCTCGTACGGATAAATTCGAGGCCATTTTTGAAAAGATCAGATCGGCATACATATTAATAGTTACGACTTAGCCGAGGAATTGAGGACTGACCACAGACGGTTTTGACCCATTTGAAAAAGTCTGGCCATACAAAAAAGCTCGATATATGGGTACCTCACGAGCTTACTGAAAGAAACCTAATGAACGTTTCATTAGGTTTCTTTCAGTAAGCTCGTGAGTCGCTCGTACTCATTTGCGATTCTCCATTTTTGAAGATTGATCACTGGTGACAAAAAGTGGATCACCTACGACAAGAACGTGCGAAAAATGGAAATCGAAATAATAAATAAATAAATAAAAGATCATGGTCAAAGGGTAGTCAAGCTCCACAAACTAGCGTAACCCGGATTAACACGCAATATGGTGATGCTGTGTGTATGGTGGGATTTGAAGGTCATCGTTTATTATGAGCTTTTACCGCCGGGCAAAACCATCGATTCGGATCTAATGCCAACAGCTAATGAAACTCAAGCAAGAAATTGAGATAAAACGACCGGAGTTGATCAACAGAAAAGAAGTGGTCTTTCATCATGATAACGCCAGACCACACACATCTTTGGCCACTCTAGCAAAAATTAAGAGAGCTTGGTTGGGAAGTGTTAGTGCGTCCACCATATTGTCCCGACCTTGCACCCTCAAATTTTCACTTGTTTTGGTCTCTTCAGAATTCTTTGAGTAGTGTTAGGTTAACATGAAGAGAGGACTGTAAAAACTACTTGTCGTATTTTTTTTATCAAAAATCCAAGATTTGCAGCATTACAGCAACGGGATTATGTCACTACCTACAAGATGGCAACAAGTTAACAAACAAAATGGCACGTATATATTATAATTAAATGTAATTAAACTTTGAAAAAAAATTTGTTTTGAATTTGTACATAAAATACGAAGAAACTTTTCCCCCGACCTATATTATCTGAATATGACCTCAATCGGTCAAGTCGTTCAGAAGTAACACGATCACTCACACATGACATAACAAACGCACCAACGATTATATATATTTCTTTCTATAGATAGATATTTCTTTAATAATTTCGAAAAATATGTTGTTGCAATTTCTAGAACGGTCTGGTATGAGTTACTCTGCGGTGAATACCCATTCAAAGGGCAGCCGCCTGAGGCGATCATCTGGCAAGTGGGCAAGGGTGTTAAGCAGTCACTAGCTAACATGCAAGCTTCTCGAGATATTAAAGTAAGAACATTAACAGTACCTTAGTGCTTTTTTTTAAATTAGTTATTGTAAAGTGTGAGGGTGACAAACGAGCACACAGTACGACTGATGGTAAGTGGATGTTGTGGTCTACATATATACCCCTACATCTTTATTCTCGATTAATCAAAATCGTTATCGCTCCTGAGTAGTAAGATGGACGGATCCAGTTCAAAAGATCTCCGGTTCTAGTCACTCGCAATGATTTATCCGCGATTTAAAATTAAATTGCAGATGCGTTATTATTATAGTGCTAAGATGGAATGCCTACTTTCCAGTAAAAAGGGGCATTCCATCTTAGAGCAACATTATGCTACTGTTTAACGTTGGTGATTTGTGAGCGCGTGGCCCTTTCGTTCTGCAGCTATAGTATAATCCAACTTAGATTTCACACCTATAATATAAAATGAAGATTTAATAAAACCTTGCCTGTAAGGGTGTGTACACCGATTTATCAAGTAATTTCTCAAATAACATAGCACGGCTGATTGACGAACGAGGTTCTGACGACCGGCTGATAACAAAACATAATCGAACCCGATTATTTAAGCGTGCTTAGTCCCCCTGATGGCAATTGGATCATGAGGTCTATTAACATCTACATCTACCTTCGGTTAAAAATAAAAATAACCCTGATGCTTTCACTCCAGAGGAGTAGCATGAAATACATCGCTACCAGTAAAAAGGGTCATTTCCCATTCGAAACCAGTCATTTGACGGCTCCGTGGCGCATTGACTTAGCAATAAGTGGCAGCGCTCAGGGCTGCGGGTTCGAATCCCGCACGGATCAAGTATTTGTATGGCCTTCAAATAATTGTTCCGGAGCTGGATGTTTGTCATTGTGAAATTTATGTACGTCTACTACCCCTACGATACAGAAGAAAATGGTAGTGTGGTACCTCCACGTTTTTTTAAAAGATAAAAAATTTCCTTTTTTATTCTAGGATATCCTAATGCTGTGCTGGTCATACCGAGCGAACGAACGACCCGATTTCCCCCACCTCCTGTCGACGCTGGAGAAGCTGCCGCGCAAGAGGCTCGCTCGGTCTCCCTCGCACCCCGTACACCTGTCCCGCTCTGCGGACTCGGTGTTCTGAGAGCGGCTCGCCGGCGCACTGTGTGTGCGACCCTAGCACACTGCACACTGCGCGTGGAAGGTGAATTCACCTACAATCCTCGCAAAACTCCGTGGGTTCTGGCGATATCACGTAAAAACTGCGAAATAGCTTGATTTTGACACCAAAGAAGTGCTCAGAGTATTTCTACATGGTCTAAATTAGAGCGTGACGCAACGATAACTTTCTACTCACACACTCGTTTTACTTCCAATGAGTAACGCCTATTGAACCCAAAAAGTTTCGCGAGGATTACGCTACGCGCGCACGTAATGAATAGGACTGTTAAACTGACAATTCGCTTCGCATTACGTACTAACTTCAAAGCGTTATTTCAAGTGTAGAGTATGCAAAAAAATTATAGTTAGCAATACATTTTAAAAATAGTTATTTTTATATCTAGCTATATTTATTAAATATTGTTGCGTTTTTTCTAAACTAGATAACTAGATCTTGCACTTAAGTTACTGTCGTTGAAATCAAACTACCTTATATCATCCCGTGAGTGTCATAAGAGGCGACAGAGGGGAAACAAACCAGGAGATGGACAGCAGCGTCTTCTTAATAACAACTAAAAAAAACTGCGGCTGCCAACCCGCCTGCCAAGTTTGGCAAATATCACCCCCATAAGGCTATCTATTGGGCTATGTTCAGCAGTGAACTTTTGATAGGGTGTTAACGGATACATTTATTGACAGTACATTAGTGACGGTTACAAAGTGAAGTTGTCAGTGTTGCTATCCTATTTTTATCGTGCGCAAGTAGTTTGTAGTGACAAGCACACAACATGACCAACAACAATATCGAGACAAATGTACATAAGGCACGCATATTTATTTAGTGATTTATTTATTTGGCAACATTTCTGTAACGAGAACCTGTTCTATCGCGATTTTATTACAACCTAGGTTCGTATCAGGTTTCATTTGGTTAGTTTTGAAACTAAATGAAAGAAACACATTCTTACATTGAAGGGGACCTCTTGTCCCTGAAGAGCCTCCAACCACTCCCATCAGCTCTCCCAAAACCTCTAAATCTGAGTAACGTTCATAAATATTAGATACAGTATGGTATTAAAAGATAATATCGCTTACCGATATCTCCATGTCTAGATTCAACAACTTGTTTGGAGAGTAGTATCTGCTTCGAACAGCAACTTCGTTCTGATCATGAATACGTCACTACTCTCTCCCGCCTCTCTGTCAACTAAAGTCTTGCCGTCTTAGCAACTTTAATTCTGCTTATATCTAGTTCTCGTTCGAGACAATATGGCGCAGTGACTTAAGGAACAATTAATCAATCAAAACATGAATGAATTCCATTACCCACCCATTTGACTAGGGCATCAAAAGTAACTCCACCCACATAGTATTCATCATTAATAAAAAAAATAAGAGTAATAAAAAGTGGCTGGTTTATTTAAGCCCTTACACATATATAAAAAGAAGACAATAATCTTAACAGTCCAGATATCTACCGCGGCTTAATTTACTAACAAACAAAGAAGGGCTCTCTTAGTACTACATAATATATTCAAATAATTCAGACATTTGTGTATAGCAATTAATTATTTATTTAGTTATACAAAACAGTGTCATATCATAAGGACTGCCGGCAGAAGTGAAAACTCAATGATATATAATGATTTCTTATATTTACGCGAACACTACACATTTAAATAAAACTAGTTTTACGGATCCTATCGCGTATGTTAACTTATTTTATATTTCCGACGTTTCCAGTACTTTACATCACCCATGGTCATGGTGCGGACTGAGGTGTTTCCCAATCTCATTGTTGACCACGGCTAACTCCAGATTAAAAATTATTAATAAAAACACCTCAGTCCCCCTCCGTGACCATGGGTGCTGAAAAGTACTCGAAACGTCGGGAGTATAAAATAAGTTAATATACGCGATAGTATCCGTAAAACTAGTTTTATTTAAACTCAATGATATATTATGCGTATACATGTATGTACGTAGGACGCGATACGTCACTAGCATATCGAGGTCATCGGTGACGCGAACCCATAAGTTTTTCCCCTACCAAAAATCGCTTAACGCGGTTAAAGAAGTTTTGACTTCAATAATTGCTATAATATCAAAATACAACAAATCAATTTGAGATCTGGATAATAAACCCATAACATATTTAAGGTGATTGCGATCATAGACAAATATAGTTACTTTTGACATTGAACATTATATTGCATATTTCACAATTGGTCTTGCTGATTCATAATTTTGTCCTGACTGAGTTTTAGGTAATTCCTATTTGGAAATAAAGTTGTTAAAGTTAACCGCTTTTACGGTCTGTCTCTTACAATCATTTAATCTACATAGTGCAACGAAAGGATTTAAAACATGTAAAGTCCAAATAATATTTACCTGAAGAGTACGTATGAATGTGTGTGCGTGCGTGTGTGCGTGCGTGCGTGCATACCTGCGTGCGTGTGTGCGTACATATGTATCTGTGTGTTACGTAAGCTCGACTTTTATAATTGGTTATCCTTTCTCCTAATAGTGACTAATTAGTTAGGTATGGATCATTAAATTATTATTAAATTCAGTAAAATAAATGTTTCTACTGATGTTATATTAGAGCTGTCGATTATTAATAGTAATAGACGAAGCTGTGTGCGATGCAATATATTATTATGATGCCATAAATGTGTTGTTGGTCATATAGTTGTGATGCGAGCATCGTCTTTCTGTCTGTCGAATTTAATAAGTAGATCGAAAATATTGTGAACTCATTGTCGACACTCGATAGTTTAATGTTTGAATTTGTTACTATACTTCGTTATAGTTTCGATAATGTCAAAAAAAATATAAATTAAAAAAGTTCAAAATTGGGTAGATGAGGTTAGACAACTGTTTATTGTTGAAATATGTAAACTTTGTAAATATAAATTTTAAAGTCGCTAGTTTTTGCTTTTCAAGTTTAAATGTTGTATAAATAATTATTACGGATCGCCGTAATGCCGTGCGAAAAATGGAATAAAACGCGCTGGTCTTGCTTTTAACTGGAGGCAAGCGGCGGTGAGGAGGAACTTGTACTTTTTCTTTTCTTGCTGGTGCCTTTTCGGTGGCTGGAGAGCGACTGCTGACCCTAGCGGCCGGCCCGTCTTTTATATGATTTGGCCGCTGCTGGCCAGCGGACCCTTGCCTCACCCCCGCGCCTATCTTTATTTATTTAATAACCTTACAAACTAATAAACATAATTCACTATATAATATTCTTATAACTACTTGTTAGACTAGGGTGTACATATCAATATTTTTACTTATTTACGGGTTTACATTATAATTTTCAGCTGCTTTAGGCGGAGAATCCTTCCCCCCGCCTCAGCACTATAAATATAAACGTCGTGGCGCGGTGCGCGTGGCTTCATTTGCTCCTCGGCCGCGTCACGATAACATGCTCTTTGGTTACACTACTACTATTATTTTATGTGCCTAACGGCCTAATATATTTATTATATAATAAAGTAAACATTTATTATATTTAACAATTACAGTTTTCATTAGAAGACTATGCTAACTCTCCCTGTTCATACGGTGCCTTTATTTGGGAGAGTTATTGCACAGTTACAACTCAACCTTAAACTTAGTTATAATACAATCATTATTTTTTATCGTTCGATACAAGTAATACAATTATTTACACAAATTATAATTTAAATTCAACATAAGGTTGCGCTAGTCCCGCCGTATAACCCTTGCTAGTTGTCGAACCAGAGGCGTGGCCTGATAATTACACCGTCGTCATGGCTCCGCCCACCGCTCCTAGGTTGTTCAACTAGCGCCGGTTACAATAAGCATTTTCTTTCGTTTGTTTAATATTGTTGCGTCGTGCACATTCTCCCGCCGTCGCCACGCTGCGATCCCTCTGGTAGCACGACGATCTTCTTCGTTGGTCTTCTTAGTATGTGCCCACTGCCGGTGGTTACGTCCACTACTCGTACCTCTCCGTCGACGCCAGGATATACCTTACTTATTTTCCCTCTGGGCCAGGTGTTGCGTGGTAGATTGGAGTCACAAATGATGACTAGGTCTCCAATCTTCGGCGATACTCCTATGCTGCTGGGCTCCCGCCGGTGTTGGAGTAGGGGCAGGTATTCTTTAACCCATCTTCTCCAAAACACGTCGGCTAGGGCTTGAGCTCGTTTCCATTGCTGGCGGGCCGTCACGTCATTCTTGCTGAAGTGTCCCGGCGCAGGTACGTGCGAGTTGGGACCGATGAGGATGTGATTCGGCGTGATGGCTTCAGGGTCTCCTGGGTCGACTGAGACGTGTGTGAGAGGTCTGGAGTTTACAGTATTTTCGACCTCGGCGAGCAGGGTCCCCAATGTTTCGTCGCTGGGATAGCGCTCGTTGAGGGTGACGCGTAGGGCTTCTTTTACGGAGCGAACCATTCGCTCCCATACGCCGCCCATGAACGGTGCTGATGGCGGTATGTACTTCCACACAATCTGTTGACACGTGGTTTCGTGCTCGAGGGCTGCAAGTGCTGCTTCGGCCATCTCCTTGTCTGCTGCCTTGAAGCACGTAGCGTTGTCACTCCATATTTCTTTTGGGCATCCTCTTCTGCTCATAAAACGCCTAAGTGCCGACACGGCTGAGTCTGCGCTCAACGAGTGGGCTACTTCTATGTGTATTGCTCGCGACGTCATGCAGGTAAATAACGCGCCATAGCGCTTTTCGCGATGTCGTCCCACTGTGACTTCTATTGGCCCGAAGTAGTCTAGTCCGGTGTATGTGAACGGACGTGCGTGATGAGCGAGGCGTGCGGACGGCAGGTTTCCTGTAGACGGTGATGCAGGCTTGGCTTTTCTTAGACGGCACGGCAGGCATCCTTTGACGACAGTTTTCACTACTGGACGTATTTTTCTTACGTACAATCTCTGTCTTAATTCATTCACAACTGTTTCTACGCCTCCGTGATGCAGCCTCTCGTGTACGTGTGCTATGTACAGG